CATAAACGGTCCGGCGTAGTCTGTAGGACTACGCCTTCTAAAAAGTTTAAAAAACACACAAAAACTAAAAAATAACAAATTTTAATTTCATTATATATTATATTATGTATTATTGAACTAATCTAGACAAAAATGGGTTCAATTAATATTAACTTTAAAAAAATATAGTACAAAATAAAATAACATACATATAAATTTGAAAAAAAATCAATTAGGTTTTTATTAAGCTCTAAAAAATAAAACTAAATTACTAACAGTCATTACAATATAGAAATAAGTTTTTAATACTATATATATAAAAGAAATAAGTTATAAAACTAAAGTTAAGAAAATGTTTTTAGTTACAGCATGAGGCAAAGTTCATTGTTTTCCTAAACATGTTTTACACAATGGATTCGTACATTATAGGCATTAAAAATAATTATCTAGGACATAACATTGTATTTAACTAGGATAAAAACTCTATAGGATAAGAATATCTCCGTAGGCATGTTCTGGTTGTACAGGAATTGGAAGTGTTCTACCAACTGCAAAGTGGTATTTCTCGTGGAATATTTGACATTGTCAAACGCATTTGTCTGGCAGATTGTCATATTGTCACTGTCACAGTGCTCATCATGTCATTTTAATAGAGTTTCTTCATAATTAGAGTCTCCTAAACGCACTCTTTTCGAAGGCCCGGCCATATTTTACAAAAGTTTGTCACACACAAAATCTTACACAGATGGTCCGGCATCGTCTGAGAGACTACGGCTTAAGTAACTTCTGCCAGAACTTCTAAAAAACTAATCCAGTTTGGGCATAAATATCAGTTGTTGACCGTAAGGGGGAGGATTAGCTGGAACGCCAATCCTGTAGGCGGTCCCAGTAACTAATGAGAGTGAGTTAATTATTTGGCGTAGTCTGTCAGACGACGCCGGACCAGTTAAGGGTTAATGTCAAAATGACTCCTATTTGTAGGGAGCGCCACCTACATGTGTTTTAACTGTTTTGAAGAGTAAGAACTTTTTTTGTCCGTATCTGTATAAAACCACTGAGTAAAAGAATATACATTTCCGTGATTTTCTACGTAAAAAATGTCTCTTGGTAAAAACCGCTACGAGCAACCGTTCTCAAGATATTTACAATGGACATAGCCAATACATGTCATTATTGACTAAAAATAAACAATGTTGAGTAGCTAGTTATTTGACCGAAATGAGAAATTTGGGAACTTTTTATTTTTTTGAACTAATCATAATTTTTCTTCGAAAAAATGATGATAAAACAGTTTCTGTTGAACTTTTGGCACAAAAACGTCGCCAATTTATGATTTTAGTCTAATAACTAATTAGTCAACATGTTTAATTTATGTCAATGATGATAGGTATTGGTAAATTCGATTCCAAATATCTCGAGAACCATTACTCGCAGCGATTTTTACCAAGAGACCTTTTTTACGTAGAAAACATCGTAAATCGTCTTTTATACAGGTACGGACGAAAAGTTATTACTCTTCAAACCAGTTAAAAAATACATAGGTGGCGCCCCCTACAAGTAGGAGCCATATTGACATAGAAATCAAATTTTTCATGTCAAAAAACTCCCAGACACCAATTTTCATCCAAATATTTACGTTACTTCGGAAATTATTTGGAAAAAATCGAAATTAAAATGAAACTTCTACACCCTGTATCTCCGAAACTAAGCATTTTAGGACATACATTTATAAGAACTTTTTTACTTATTTTAATGTGCAGAATATGCTGCCGAAGTTTCCGGAATACAGTTTGGACCACCCTGTATATTAAATTTATTTTCATTTTAATTTTATTAATTATTGTGATTAATAACATTACGTTTATCCCATCAAGGAGGCCGAATTCGACAAAATATGAAGAGATAGCTTTTAATTGGCATTAAAGGGCCTACACAATTTTGCTATCAAAAGAAAAAGAGTCAGTTTTTTTTGGAAAATTAGTGATAATCTAGTGATAACCCATATGCACGTCCCTGATGAATTTACCGACACTTTTTAGCATTAAAAAAACTTTTACCTTCAAAATTTCATCCAAATCACTAAAAGCACTTGAAAGAAAATTACAATAAATCGAATAGGTAATTATTAACACTTTAACACCCTGTAGCTACGAAACAAAGCAGAATCGGACCTATGTTGATATGAAAAATAAGTCTTATTTTTACGTGAGGAATCTCCCCACGAGAGATGGCACATGTTTTTTGAAACGCTTTACATGGACCTTATTTCAAAAAAAGCAGATAAAAACTTTTGAGATTGTTGGTCCATTAGCTTCAAAAATCGTTATCCACTTCGAGATTGACTTAAACAAATCATATGCTTCATACATTTGTAGCCAAAATTCATTCCCAAGCAGAGGGCTTCCTATTTTTGGTGACAGAACATCAGTAATATCTGGACTATCATCAACTGCTAAGCTTTTTAATAAGTGTTAAGTGTCCAAAAAGGCTTTTTAGTCAAAGCAGCTTGTTTTCACAAAAAAAGGAAAAGAGTAGAGCGGGAAAAAAGCAATATTTCCAGTGTACCGAAATTGCGGTTTTATTACATAATATTACCAAAATTACCGGTAATATTACCACGGCAATATTACCCTTTACATCATACATCACTATGATTAACAAATGTCAACCGCAAAGTTATTACTGCTTTGAGTAGCACGTCAGAAGCGCCTAGCCGCTACCAGTAACTCTCTATCCAGTCGACACATAGTTGCACGAATGAGTTTTGATTAAAAAATGTCTATATCTATGTGGCGGATTCATCTTTCCAAAAAAATCCTTTATGGGTATTTCGCCACTGCACTGCAAGAAAATCTACAAAATAAAATAATTATTTTTTGTAAACACTTCTGCATTAAACCTAAACGGACGCTGCTTGTCAGAAGTTATGTTTATAGTAATACAAATTTTCTTAACAAAGAAAAAAAATGCTTAACGTTTCGGAAAGTTATCTCTTTCCGTCATCGGAAGCAAAAAAAAAACAGAGAATAAAGAAAAAAAACTATTTAAAATATTTAAATTCATCTATTCGAGAACACTTTACTTTTTTAAAATAGATACGTCTACAAGAAACCGTTGACTGACCGTTGACGTTCTGTTAAAATGACATTTTTTTAACTGGATATTTAAACTTCAAAATTAACAATTACTACCTGATAACAATTACTTAATAAGGTAAAACCAAAAAGCCCCAAACTTTCTGTATGATTATTTTTAAATTTTACGTATGTTATGTTTATTTATCTTTTTGTATCTATTGTTCTTTAAAATCAAAGAAGCGATTGCCATACATTACTAACATCTACAGATGCATGAGCAATACATTTATTTTTATTAGATTGAATTAAAAAAGCCTCTTTTATTTTTCTTTTAGAGGCTATCGCTTCTTTCATTATAATTTTGGAGTTATTAAAATTTATTCTGTGCCCTGTGTCCCAAGAATGCTGACAAATCTTAGATTTGTGAAAATCTCCCTTTCTTAAATAATCTTTATGTCCTTTAATTCTGACATTTAAGGGTCTAGATGTTTCACCAATGTAAAATTTATCCCATTCACAGGGTATTTGGTATGTTACATTTTTTGTTTGTTGGTCTGTATTCATTGGTTTAGTATGTGATAAACTGGATCTAAGTGTATTTTGTGTTTTGAAAGATGTTCGTATGTTATATTGTTTTCCTATCCTTATTTTTTCCGAAACGCCTCGTTTGAGTTTTGATTGCTTTGATTTCAGCCTTTTTTTGTGATCCTCGTTTTTTTTAAATTTTAATGCGGATTTTATTTTTGTTGCTTCGAATGCATTAATTTTAAAATTGAATGTCTTACATCAAATTTTCAGTCAGCTGCTGTAAAGATAATAGCTTTGATCGTAATTTCCGGACAGTAAGTTAGCGGCAACGGTTAGAAGTTAGTTGATTTCGACAGTATTTTATGTTTAAATTACTGTATGACGGCATTTAGGTATGATTCAGGTTGTGCATACCGCCGTCAACGACAAATTAATTCAATTTTCTACCGGCATTTACGGATATAGAAATAGCATGCCGCCGGATGACGGTATTTTCTTGTATACACTAACAATACCGCCGGCAGTTGTTTAGCCAGTATGAACAAAAAACAGAATATTAACACAATAACATTTTTATAAGGCTGTACTTAAACTGCCGTTAAACGGTAGCTTACTAAAATGCCGTTAATAGGTATGACGTCGTTGATGTGACGCACTTGACGGCTTTATGAAATATAGGAATTTTATAAGGACTAACCAACGCTATCCACCCCACCAAATAACCAACTTAACCAACGCAACTAACCTCGACACTGATAAAAAAATATAAAAAACAAATATAAATTAGTAAAAATCAACCAACCCCACCAAATAACCAACTAACCAATGAATTAACACCCTCCAAATAACCACGCTAACCAACCCGCCAAATAACTAAACCAATCCAACCAAAAAGAGTGAAACCAATGCAATAAGATCAAGCTATAAGCAAAAACAAATATAAAAAAGTCTTGGTCGGCGTGAGATTTGAACCACGGACCATTCGCTTACGAAGTGATAGCCTCAGCTAGGCATTACTTTCCGCCGACATGAACGACGTCACAATATCTATTAACGGCATTTTAGTAGGTTACCGTTTAACGGCTGTTTAAGTACATCGTTTTTATAATATAAGAATAATAAAAGAGCTTTTCTGTAATTGTCTCTCATAGATTTTATAAACTAGTTGTTTTTTGGACGTTCATGAATATGTATAATGAATATTTGACTTATCATTTTGGCATAATTGTTTTTTAATAATTTTTTTGTTGCTTTGTATTTTATTTACTTTAAACTAGTTATTATTTTAATATTATTTCCTAGGACGTCCTTATTAGTTTAAATAATTTGTGTTTGATATTTTGCTTTTTGTTACTTTTCGAAAATCCCAGTTGTTTTTCTTAAGTTTTCTTAATCTTCTTTATTTATTTCTTGCAGGATCGTGGACTACCAATTCCAGTACCATTGGTTTATGGACCTAGTAAGTTCATCCCATCAACAGAGGTGAGTTATTTTTATTTTTGACAATTATTTCTCTTTCGGTTTATATGAGAATATATTTTATTTTGTTCACAATATTTTGATTTGATCATTGTCATAATATAGTCATATAGATCATAGCCAGTAGCGTGTCGTGGATAAAAGGGCGGAGGGGGCGAAGACCTTAAGGGGCGCAATGATCAATAAAGTACAAATTTACAATCAAATAAATTACAAATTTTTTTTAAATAATAAGACTACATGGAAACTTTTTTTTTTTTTTAATTATAAATTTGTTTATTAAAAAAATTAGTATACAAAACAGTTATTTCAAAGATGCAAGCGTCTTATTTAACCGATTTAAAAAAATCAATTATTTCGTCTATATTTAGATCCTGGGCTGTGTCTACTTCAATACTGAGAAGTAATGCACATTAATGCACATAAAGATGGATATGAAGACTCTAGGTCATTGGAAATTAAAAATGATAAATATTCGTCAGGTGCAAATTTGTTGTCATTACATTAATTTCTTCTAATAAACTGCAAACATGTTTATATTCATCAACTAAAGAATAATCCATAACAATCCATAAGACATTTTAAATTGTCATCATTGACGTCCATATCCATCCATATTGGTCCATATTCAATAAACACTTTGGCATATATTAAGGAAGTCTTCAAAACGATTCTCTAGAGTACCAGTTAAAATGTCTAAAGTACCATAAAACACTGATATCTTGAAATTATCTTCAGAATTTTGATGTAGGTAATCATTCTGGATTTCATCATGAATTTTTTTTATTCTTTGTCTTTTTGTGGAAAATGATGTTGACGTATTGCATTTATTTGCCAAAATAGTAGCCTCTTTTTTAAAATTATCAAAATATTTTCACTTCTTAATGATTTGAGATCTATAGTTACCGCAGTAATCATATTAGCAGCTGTACATAAGTTGATATTAACTTTTTGCAAGTGATTGGACAATATATTAATTTTATTCAGCACTTCATTATAATCGATTATATTTCGGTCGGTGATTCCCCGAATTTATTTCCATCGCGACTGCTTTCCTCTTCTTTTTTGGCGGCCTTTTTTGGATCTTCTTCGTTATGTCTAGCCAATGGTCTAGCGGTAGCGTAGTTTCAAGTTTCAAACCCATATGAAAACTTTCGTACGTAGTATATACGCCTACTTCATTAGAGATTTAAATTAATAAATATAAGCCTTGTTTAATACAAGGATATAAGTAAACATTAAAAAACAAAAATAAAATGTGAGAAATATAATATACGACATTTTTTTATCTTGAAGAGCTAAGGGCACGGTAGGGCACCCTTTGTTTTTGCGTTAAATTTAGTTTTTCTATTTTTTTTTCAAAGGGCGCCAGGGGCGCTAAGCGCATAGGGGTGGAGGGGGCGTTCGCCCCCCCTGGCCCCCTATACGACACGCCACTGATGATAGCCTTATACAGGAGGGGTAATGGGGGTAATTACCCCTCCTGGGAAGTCAGTGGCGGAACTACTTATATAATAGTAAAAAGCTATTATACCTACTACCTATGTATAACAGTAAAAAATTAAAAGATCTACTTTGATGACGTCAACAAGTCTCCTCTCAGGCCTATATCACCGCCTCGGTAACGATCTAATAGAACAGCCACGTGACGTTCGCGTTTGCAAATTAGAATTAGCGTAAAAACATAGCGTATAGAAAAAAAAATAGAAATTGTACCAAACCAGGTGTGCTGCCGCTTAGAAACAAGCGAGCCGGCATTGGCTGGCGATGTTCAATTATTTTTGAGGGCACCGCGACCGGCAGACTGCCTGTCGCTAGGCAAAACTTGGCCGCGCCGTTGCCGGCTCGTTTCGCCCGTTTTCCTGCCCGGAAAATTCGTTGCTCTGTTCTGTTATATTTATTATTCTCCCGGTTGCGTTTTGTTTATCGTACCGATGAATGATAATTGAGTGTTAATTACATGCTATTATAGCGAGTTAGGTAATAGATATGGTAACTTTAATCGCTGGCGGTTTTAGAATGCTTTTGGTTTACGCGAAACTATTTTTTTTTTCGAGCGGCATATTTGCGGTGACTATTAGAGAATTGTTGTTACATTTTTAGTCGAAAAAGTAAAACATTCTTCATTCCTCTGAGTAGTTACTTCGAGTTTACTGAGTTTTTTAGTAACACCTGTCACCTGAATAAAGACGCGTATGTGGTCCATGGAAGCGGGGGAAGCGGCGCTTCCTTATACGTTGAGACAAAAAGAAATAAGTTTTTTAATTAATAATTCACAGCAATTAATATTAATTTAAGTAGTGGATTATACAGTATACAGTGTGTCCGAATAAATAAGTTCATTGGATACAATTCTAGGGTTACCATATTTCTCTAGACGAAAAAGAAGACAAAAACATAATTCATTTTCTTACGCATTTATCATAATACGGAATTTTTAGTTTTAATTAACATCTTAGGGTATTTTGCTAAAAAAATCTCTCTACAGAGTGAGTCTTAAGTACGTGCAAATATTTCAGGGATGGTAGATCTCGATAAAAAAAACATATTTTCTATATGTTTATATAGAAAATATGTTGTTATATATGTTATGTATGTTTTATAACCGAGTCATTTTTGAAAATTTCCAAAAAAAAAAATTTTACTTAAATTTTGAGTACCACTTTTTTCTGTGTTTTCTTTCTTGTAAATTTAATCTACTACCCACGTTGTCATATTATCAAGAAATTGTTTTTTTTTCTAACTAAAAATTGCAAAATAAAACACTAAATCACCACAATACACCAAAACACTTTTTACTTCGCGTTTCGCTAACCATGTTAGCATCATCAGCTGATGATTATAAACTGATAGTTTTTATAGATAGAGTTTATAATCATCTGCTGATGAAACATGGTTAGCGAAACGCGCGTCCAGTGTAAAAGTAAAAAGTGTTTTGGTGTATTGTGGTGATTTAGTGTTTTATTTGTGTAACACCAAAGGTTCCAACCCCCAACTGTAAACTAAAAATTTAAAAATTGCAAATTTTCAAATTTTTTTTCGCGAAAAAAACTTCATACATAATTGTGTTTCTGGGATCGAAATATACTACCCCTAAAAATATTTGCACTTATAAGACTCACCCTGTATAATATAGTAAGTATATAAAAGCATACCTAAGTTCTTCAACACAAATTAAATAAATAAATAAGTAAAAAATAACAAACTAAAACTAATGTTGTGTCATATGGCATTGTGCTATAAATCACAACACTAGATAATAAAGAAATCTAAAAAAACAAGTCTTACAAATGGATTTCTATTACAAAAAGTACTAACACTAACTCACAAAACTATTCTAAACCGATGATGTTCCGATTTCAATGAGATTTTGCGTGTCTATGTTTTGCTAAATGCTTTAATATTTGACTTTCTCCAAAATAACAAAGTACGGGAAGGTTGAAAACTAACCCTACCTCTTTATACATTTTAGTACAAGTATTTTCCAACTCCAATTTCTTGAATCCAATTTCCAGCCACTCTCTTCATCATCATCATCATTTTCAGCTTATTCAACCATTTCCAATTATGGTGTAGCCTCTCTCACATATTCTCTTTGTAGTTGGGTCCATTGTTGTCGTTATGCGGGCCCAAGTTATCCCTGCTAATTTCCTAACATTATGGTCCTATCTCAGGTTCGGTCTTCTTCTAGGTCTCTTAGTTCCTCGTGGATGCCATGCTGTAATTTTTCTGATCCATCTGTTATCCCTTCTTCTTGCCAGGTGTCCTGCCCAATGTCATTTGAGGGATTTGGCTCTGTGGATGACATCTATTACCTGGGCCTTTTGTCGTATCCACTCTACTCTTTTACGGTCTCTCTTGGTTGTTCCCAGCATATTTCGTTCCATTGAGCGTTGTGCTACTTGCAGTTTCCTTATGATGTCTGTTTTAAGTGTCCAGGTTTCGCACTCTCTTAATATCATCCTGGAAATTGGATTCAAGTGGCACAAAATAGAAAGAAATGGCTAGAATTGAAGGAGGCTTTTGTTCAACAGTGGACCGAATAAGCTAACTGATAAATTTAATTCTGATTTGTTGAAATTACTGTATCTATAGGGATAAAGAAGTACCACCACCAGTACTCTCTACCCTAATGGAAAGTACCCTTTCAGGACTATTACGAAATTTTATACTATCATCATTCGCTTTGGCATTAAAATGTGTGTGAAAGTATCAAATTTCAATAAAAACGGTTTACCAATGTTCTTAAAAATAAACAAAATATGTTATTTTTATTTGACCTTTCGAGTGCTGTAACTTCTTCAGGAAGTATTTTAGGGCATACCGGGTGTTGCATCGTCAGACGGGACATAGGAAATCCCATGTAAATTTTAATGGGGTCAATTATTGGCTTCCCTAATTATTTTAGAGAATAACTCTATTTAAGTTTATTGAAGAGCACTAAAACCCACATTCAACAGAATAACTTTTGATATTTTTGATTGGCTCGTTTACGAGTTATCGCCGATTTCTTTTTAAAAATTTCTCCTTTCTTATGGCCCTGTATTTACTTATGAGCACCAGTCATGGTAAAAGATAACTGTCAAATGAAGTTGTCATTTCAGAAATTTACCTATTTAGTGCTTTATTATTATTGAAAACTCATTCCTACATCGGAAATCGTAAAGATGTATTTATAAATACAAATTAATATGAATTAAAGTAAAATAAAGTAATCAATTACAAGGTTAATTATAGTATTATTACAATATTCAATAACTTATTAATTTAGATATGTACTATTAAATTGTTAGAACTTTAGGATTTAAGATGTTCAAATGTTCCTCCATCGACTGCTAGACAATAACACAGGCGATCATAAAATTCTCTTCTTACATTCGCTAATTAGTAAACTGAAATTCTATTGCATTGGGCAGAAATAGCATTTTTAACTCGTCTAGATTTGCGTATTTTTTGTCCTTGTATATCCTGTTTTTTGAATGGCCCCAGAGAAAGAAATCATT